ATTGTATATATATTTTATCTCTAAATATGTTGCGTATAACATGGGTAGATGAAATAGTTGGTGTGTGTTAAAATGATGAGAGGCCTCGATGTTGTTGTTGTTCCAGTCATTTAGCGGAGTATGGATGACGACCACAGACTCTTCTAGACAGTCTAGTGGAACGCTACCAGGCTCGCAACCTATAGGTGTTTGTGGGCTTGATGTTCACCGGTGTACTCCATCCCCTCATGGTTGCCTTACGGACATATATGGATGAGGAATCCCCTTAGCAGTAAAGTCCATCTCGATGATAAAATCCTTAGACTAGGTCCCTTGTATAGGTGCTTAGGGACGTAACGTGAGGATAACGGGAATGGGTAATCAGGGTTATTGTTGGTTTGATGAAATTAATAAATTTATTTTTGATCGATGAAATTAATAAAATTATTATTATTTGTGGGTTGAAAACCTTATATGCTCACCAGGCTCCCAAGCCTGACCCACTCAGCTTTCTGTTGTACAGGTAGTGGACCCAGAGCATAATTTGGATGATGATGAGAGATTTTTGGATTATAGACCAGTAGTTGTAAATAACTGTTGTAAGGCTTATAATCTACTGTTTATGCTTTTGATGTGTATCGAACATGACATCCTGAGTCTTTTTAATGAAATACATTTCTACGGAAATGCTTTGATAAATCTTTATCATATTTTTATTTTGGGAACAAATTCCGCAACACTTTTATGTAAAATATTACTCTGATTTTCAAACAAGCATAAACACAATCGGTCTTTTCTGGCCGTGAAATTGGGGATGTCACACATGCCATCCATAAACATGTCTCCCTTTAATAAAGGCAAACTGCTCTGAACTAACAATACTAGCAATAATCACCCCCAACTTATTAGCTAAAAGTTTACAAATAATATTATATTGGCACCCAATTAGGCTAATAGGTCTAAAGTCCCTTGTTGTCTTTGAATCTTTAACTTTCGGGATAACAGTAAAAAAAGAAGCATTACACCCCTTTGGAATGGAAGAATAATGGTAAAAGTCTGTAACAAAAGCCACCACATCGTCCGCTACAAGATTCTAATACCGCTTGAGAAAACCAAAAGTAAAACCATCAGGTACAGAGGCCTTGGTTGAACCACAATCCCACACAACCTTTATGATTTCCTAGTGAGAAAAAAGAGCCTCAATATGTTGAACTTGCAACACCGAGAGAGTACTAAAATATGTAGCATCAGTCTTAGGGCGCCACCCATTATTTTGCGAAAAGAGAGATTCATAATATCTTTGAAACTCCTACTACACTTGAACCAAATCATCCACCCACACCATGTCAGTCAACACATCATGAATAGCTAGCTGACAATGTTTGTGATTAAGAACTCTATGGAAAAAAACCTGAATTCTAATCGCCCTCTATGCTCCATTTTATCTTCAATTTTTGTGCTACCTTTGACTAGAAACGATGATCCATCTCTGACATATCCTTCATAAGGGTAACTTTTCGCTCTCTCAAAATTGTTGATCCCAAATCCTCCATGAGAAGAGCATCCAGACACTCGATCTTATCCTATAAATTTTTCCTTTTATTAGACCACTAATCACGAGTACTAGAATTCCAAACCCTCAGATTAAATTTAAGAAGTTGATGTTTCTTATTAAAAATAACCCAAGGATTCGTAATCTCTATCCCGTCCAACGATTGCGCCAAAGAACTACGAACTATCCCATCAAAATCCCCCATCTCAAATATTAGACAGATTATTATATAGCTAGTAATTAGAGGATACAAAGTGTAAATATGTAACTTATATATATTTGATGTAATCGGTTTATGAACGTAATAATTATACACAACGTTTTACCAAGATTAACTTGGTATCAGAGCCATCTCTTTTTGTCTGCTCATCTAAAGGGGTTCTTTTATATATGTTGGTATATGTTGATGATATTATTCTCATCGGAAATAATTCTCTTGCTATTGATAATATCATCAAAAGTCTTAGTCACATGTTTGCAATTCAAGACTTAGGAAATCTTTCATATTTTTTTTGGGTATTGAGGCGATTCGAAAACATAAGGATTTGGTTTTATCTCAAAGCAAATGTATTCTAGAACTACTTCAAAGAGTAAATCTCTCCAAAGCAAAACCAGTTTCCTTTCCTATTACTACTACTGTCAATTTGCTTCTTGGTGATAGTCCTTTATTTGATGATCCGATTCGCTATATGCAGATGGTTGGTGCTTTGTAGTATGTTACCTTGTCTCGTCCTGATATCACCTTTGTAGTCAACAAAGTCTGCTAGTTTATACACTCTCCCACTGAGAATCATTGGTCTGTTGTAAAATGGATTCTCAGATATCTTCAAGGGACATCTCACTATGGCCTTCTAATCCAACATAATTCCAGCTCCATTCTTTATGCCTATACTGATGCTCATTTTGTAAATGCTTTTTCAGATGCACACTGGGTTGGTTGTCCTGATGAACGTCGATCCACGGGGAGATATGCCATCTACCTTGGAAATAATCTCATTTCCTAGTTAGCTAGAAAGTAATGGGCTGTCTCTAGGTAATCAACTGAGTCCGAGTACAAGGCTTTAGCAGACACAATGATTGGGCTCACATGGTTGGAAGCTCTTCTTCGAGAACTTAAAATTTTCAAAACATGAGTTCCAGTTCTATGGTGTGACAATTTGGGTGCTACCTACTTATCAACAAATCATGTCTTTCATGCGCGTACAAAGCATTTAGAGGTTAATTTTCACTTTGTTAGAGAAAAGGTTGTTGAAGGAAAACTTAATGTTCAATTTATTTTTACACGTGATCAGATTGCAGACATTTTCACCAAGCCAGTACCGTCTCAACGATTTATCGATTTGTGCTCCAAGCTACAGCTCGTTACCCGAGCTTAGCTTGCGGGGGAATATTAGACAGTTGATTATATAGCTAGTAGTTTGAGGATACAAAGTGTAAATATGTAACTTTTATATATATATATATATATATATATATATATATATATATATATATATATATATATATATATATATATATATATATATATATATATATATATATATATATATATAATGTAATCAGTTTATGAACATAATAATTATAGGCAATGTTTTACCAAGATTAACTTCAAACCAAGAATGAAAAATCTGAAACGAAGTCGGATCATAATCAACATAGTGCTCTAACAAAAGAGTGAGACGATGACATGGTAATTCCTTTCTTTTTTTATATTAATTTTTTTTTTTTAATTTAAATCGTTTGTTATAGTTTAGTAAGGTTAAATAGTTCATCATTATGATAAATAATTAAATATATTAGTCTCTACCTATTTTTATGAATACAAGTCATTAGTATCCTATTTTATCACTAACGGGTAGAATAATTTACCTATAAATAAAAATTGAGCCACAAGAAGTCACAACCTTCCCTCTTAAATGATTTTGTTAAAATCGATGTTAATATTTTTATATTTTAATCGTATTAATACATTTATCCATCCTATTTTAAGTGTATACATTTATCCATCCTATTTTAATCTACACTTACGTTATGCATTTTAATTACCAAAGGGTTAAAACTCTATGGTATCTGGTGTTGTTTTTCTTTTTCGAAGTTGAGAGTTCAAGTCTCGTTACAAACATATGTAAAAAGTTATGCATTTTAATTCATTAGATCATTTCCAACTATAACATTATTTTCTATATAAGATAATATAAAAAGTGATTAATTCTAAGTTTCTAACTCATTGAATTATTTCTTTCAATAATAATAACTAGCTTTCTACACTAATAAAAAAAAATAGTTATTAGTGGCACTAGTAGTTTTTTTTTAAATGCTTTATAAAAATAACACTGCACATTTTCTTATATTTTTTATGTTTAAAAAATATTAATATTGATAATAAGTTAGACAATTATTTGATTGTTATCTTTTTGTAGGCAAAGAAATAAACCATGATATTTATATTTCTATATATATATATATATATATATATATATATATATATATATATATATATATATATATATATATATATATATATATATATATATATATATTAAAGTTGTTAGACACCTGAAAATGCTTGTCCAGAAAGTTTCAAATAATATAAAACGCTAATGTATTTATGTAGTAACAATAAAATACTATATTATTTGTAATAAGTAAACTGTTATTATTTTTATTACTATATTTTGAACGTGAATACTAATGTATTACTACTATAAGTATTAGTGATGTTAATTATGTTGTTTTTATTTGTTATAGTTTTATTTTTTGAAAGATAAAGAATAACATCATTGTATTGTCGTATCTAAATGAAACGTCAAATCATATAATATTATCAAATTCTAATTACGTCCATGAGTTTTTCAACATGTCTTATGAGAACCTTTTTAAGTCTACAATATTCTTAAAAATAAACAGCGGAAAAAATGTCTGTTTGCCGTTTAGACAAAGATGCCAGAAAGAGTTTTAAAAAAAAAAATAATAATAAAACAAAAATCAACCAAGAGACGTAGAAGGCTGATGGTTTAGAATAGTCTCCAATGTGATTTTGGTGACCAACAAAAGCAGTCTGGTGTCTGGAGCAACAAAACATGAAAAAACCGGATGAATTTTTTATTTGATCGGGAGTTGTTCGAGGAGATACGCTACTACTCGGATTCTTTTCAAGTATTTTGAAGGATTATTGGAATATCTTAAAATCCATTTAGGCCTTCTACACGAGCTAATCTTTCAAAAAGCCATTTCATGTTTGTATGAATACCTCAATGTTGTTATTTCACAGCATTTCATATTGTATGATTTGTCTTTAAAATATTTAAAATTTTACCTAACGCCATTTTAGCCCAATAATCTTAGTCAAACTTTATCCTCGTATAGTATATATATATAAATACACTTCATTATGGTAGTGTTATATGTTTGCATCCCTTTTGTCCCCTCGAACCCTTCCTTTGCTCGAAACTAATTTCAATCATTACATATGATGGAGAAGGTAACCACCACCACCACCACCACGGGCACAACCGCACCCATGACGGTTAAAGTTAGCCCTGCGGCAAAGAAGACGCTTTTAATCTTGAATTGCATCTTGTTATCCATCGGAAACTGTGGTGGCCCATTGATTATGCGGCTCTACTTCATCCATGGCGGCAACCGCGTCTGGTTATCCTCGTTCCTGGAAACCGCCGGGTGGCCGTTCATCGTTATTGTCCTCATAATCCTCTACTTCCACCGCCGTGCAGCCGGAAATAACGGAAACAATAAAAGAACAACGTTCATCTACATGCGTCCAAGATTGTTCTTCGCGGTAGCCTTCGTCGGTGTGATCACCGGTTTCGACGACTATCTCTACGCTTACGGCGTCGCCCGCCTCCCCGTCTCCACCTCCGCCCTCATCATTGCTTCTCAGCTAGCTTTCACGGCCTTCTTTGCTTACCTTCTCGTGAAACAAAAATTCACAGCGTATTCAGTAAACGCGGTGGTGCTTTTGACCGTTGGTGCGGGGGTGCTGGCGTTGCATACGAACAGTGACCGGCCGGAGGGGGAGACTAAGAAGCAGTATGTGATGGGGTTTGTGCTGACGGTGGCGGCGGCGGTGCTGTATGGATTTATTCTGCCGTTGATCGAACTAACGTACAACAAGGCAAAACAAGCTATTACATATACACTGGTGTTGGAGATTCAGATGGTTATGTGTTTGTTTGCTACTATCTTTTGTATGGTTGGAATGATCATCAACAATGACTTCAAGGTACAACTCATTACAGCTTGTTTTTTCTCTCTCACACAAAACACGCACTGCCGTCTGACTCCATATTGTCAATTATTTGATTTGATTTCCTTTGATTTTCAGTTAATAATTGAACTAACGTAAATGAGGGGATCATGAATGATCATCTTTCCATAGATATGAAAAAAAGAAAAATAGTATTATCTTTTTGAATATTTTAATATTCTAAATTAGTTTGCTATCCATTCGACTGAAAATTTCTTTATATCTATATTTCATATTTTGTGAAGTTGCCTTATTATTATTTTTTTTTCAAAAATGAATTTGGAAATTCCTTCGTATTTTAAGAAATATGAAAGAAATTTTGGTAAGTTGAATAATTTAATTTATGATAAAGTTTTATATTTACTTGGAGCATCTTTTTTATAGCATCTTTGATGAGAGGTTTTTTTTTATAACTTATTACTATTTATTACTATTTGGTTAAGTGGAAAAAATAACTAAACACAATTGGATTGCATGACTTTTTTTTATTCACCAATATAGTTTAATGAACAATCAGTCTTTTTTTTTCTTTAATAATATTTCATTTTAACCCTTTGATTTACTTTGATTTATTTGTTATTTATCTAAAATTTATGGATAAATAAATATATAATATATAAATATAAATTATAGTAATATGTAAATTGTGTGTACATGATTGAATGATTATATTAAAATATGATGTGCTTAAAAAGATTAGTTAAATGAGAGGGTTATTCCTGCCTCTCCCATGACTTTCCGGACCAACCAACCCGGATCTGTCTTCGCAAGTCTCTCTGCATTTTGGAAGCAGAGCATGCAGAAAATCGAGCAATGGATCTTAGAAGAATTCCACTTTTTTCGGCTCGACTCTTTCTATTTCTGCGCTGACATTTGAGTTGTCTCTCTTCTTTCTTTCAATCGACACACTCGACGCAGATAACTCCGGTGACCCCCGCTTCTGTCTCTATCAGGCGGCGACAAGAGTAAAATTAGTTAAATTAAAAAAAAAAGTTATGAAAAAGTTAACCATCGGTGAAACAATTAATTAGAGGTCAGTAAAAATAAAATAATGAGGTAACAATATTTTTGATCAGTGATATTGGTTTAACATTGAAGATGCTCTTATACTTGATCTTGTTTTATTGTTGAACTATTTACAAGGTAATTTTCTATAATTAAAATAAAAAGAAATTTACGATAAAGTCTCAATATTTTTTGTCGGAATAAGGTTTAATTCCAATATTTATTTTTTAATACAAAAGTCTCAATTATTTAATTTTATACGATAATCTGACATTTTTTTTTTAAATTAAGGATTGATTCGTTAATTTGGCAAAATATAAAATAATTATGATTTTTCTATTAAAAAAATATAATTTATGATTAAATCGCAAATTGAACAAAAAATATTGAGATTTTATCAGTGATTTCTCTTGTTTTTGTTTTTTGAACAAAAAAGTTCATTACCATATTATAACCGATAATCTATCATATTCTATTAAAAAACATAAATAACTTTTCCATTAATTGGGACACAATATTATATAATCGAGATTTTTTTATTTAAAATCCTCACTAACTAAGCACATACTCTTTCGCATTGCGTAATTTAGTGCCAATTGTTGGTGAAAAACTTGCATGGATGAGCCCTTCTCACCTACCGCTGCTTTGAGGAGGGTTTGATCCGGACAAAATTGAGAATTATCTTTATAGTAACAATAAAACAAATAGAAAATTAAGATGAAAAATTAAGATGAAATTGGTAGATTATTTTGAACACCGTTTAACTCAAATAACAAATAGTTTTTTTTTTTTTTTTTTTTTTTTTTTTTTTTTTTTTTCATATTGTATGATGGTTTATGCATCTAATCTCTCGATATGGTTTAAAATAAAACTAAAAAAATGTTGGTCTACAGAATTTGTCAAAGTGTACATAATATTTTTATTGATTTAAAGATTAATTTATGTTTCTAGGGTTAAAACAATATTTACAGTAAGTTATATATGGAAATTACTTTGTTAACTAAACGTTAATAATTATAGTAATTCTAACCTGGTTTTTGAATGATTTTCTTTTTACCCTCCGCTAATGGGGGCAATAAACCAGCCTTATATTAAGTAATTAAAAAATAGTTTCTAAAACGAAAATTAGTTTTTTTTTATAAATAAGAAAATTATATATCGATTACGATATTTATTACCAAAAAAATGATTTTTGGAAAACAAACAAATATAGAGTAGGCATATTTGGTTTTGATATGGTGTCGGTTTTATTATACATAGAGTATAAAATTCCACACATTAACAATAAAAGTTACCATTTAAGATATTTTAAAGACGAACCTTATAAAGAAACCTAACTAGTTTGAAACAAAACTTTATATAAAGCATCATCAATTATCAATCGCACAAAATTTGAACGATACCTATATAAGGTAGGCACATGACCTGATCATACACCAAGCACCAAATGCGGTTGATGCTCTCTAACTTTTTAGACATTGGTCAAATAAAGTATTATTTCTTATATTGTAGGTTAGATTTGCTTGACTTACAAATGATATATGTAACAAAAGTTGTACGTTCCTGTTGCATGAAATACTAGAAATCAAATAACATATTTAAGTTCAAAATCCTATGTATTTTTATAACAGACCTTTATACATAAGATGACAAAAATACTTTGATAAAAATATCAAACCTGATACTTTTTTACTAGGTAAACGGTTATCATGTATGTGATTTTTTCTTAATTAATACGTCTTAGATATGAGATGATTACGTGCTCGATATGATCTCATGTACCTAACCCCAAACCGCTTTATAGTTTTAGAAGAGTTATAATTTTAGAGAAATTAAATTGTTTTTTATTTTTTATGTCTATAAATGTTTCTACCTAATAAAATTATAATAAATATCATCATTCCATATTTTTTTAACTAACTCATTAAGGTTATATTAAGGATATATCAAATAAAATTAAATTGAATAACGATTTATCATAATTTTAGTTGGTAATAATAATTGTTAGTATAAAAGTTAAGAGGTAATTTAATTTCTCATAATTTTATTATCTAAATATATTTGGTTTCTTAATTATATATTAATAGTATGTGTGATTTATATGAAATATGATATTTTATAATTGTAATTACTCCTTATTTCATAACTCTATAATATTAACCTAAAATACATAATATATACGATTATAGACAGATACTGTATTATGATAAGGATACCCAAAAAACCAATAGTACACTCGCTGTACCGGTATGGACCAAATTCATCCTCATGGTTCTCATTCTCAACTTTTGACCCCACACCTTTTCTTTGATTCCAAACAAATCCCTCTTTGATGTACCCCACCTTTCTAATGTCGATGCTAAAGTTTCTTAGTTGATTAACATTGAAATTCTCTTTATATCGAAAAGTTAGCAAAAGTTTCTTTGATGATTAACATTGAAATTCTCTTTATATCAAAAAGTTGCAAAAGTTTCTTTGATGATTAACATTGAAATTCTCTTTCTATCAAAAAGTTAGCAAAAGTTTCTTAGATGATTAACATTGAAATTCTCTTTATGTCAAAAAGGTTTATTAGGTTGTTAGAATATCCTTTTAAACTAATTTGAATGTTTAATATTTCATAATTTTGGAAAACAAATTTTTATTTGTCTTTTCACATAAGTAGTACTTTTTATTTTTATCTATAATAACATTATTCTGACATTTGTTTATCAATAAAATTAAGATATTCTTTTTTAGACAATAGCAATTTAAATAATCTAAAACTTGTAAAAGTTTGTAACATGAGTTTTCCTTCTTATGGGCTTGAAGAGTCGTTTTCATTGTGGGCTTAGAAGTAAGATTTTCACTGTAGGACAAGTTATTTTAAAAACTATTTCAGGCAAAATGACAAAAACATGCATGAAAAATTAACAAGAGTTTATATCTTAAGTGTGTGATATTTTTGTTTTTTCTTACACCCGATGTTGTGTAGTTCCTTAACTGAATTCATCGGGGCATACAAAATAACTTTATGATACCCACAATCTATGGATTCGGTCTTTAAAAAAAATAGTTTCATCGTAGGACCGTTGGGAGACCAATGCCAACCATCCATCTGACCATTCAACACAACCATATCTGTACTTCTTCTCAAAATCGAATACTGAAGAAGTTCCTCCCTACCCCTCGGGTTCTTCTAAAAGCCGAGAACCAATCACTAAGATGAAGTTGATCTTTAGCACAGCTCTTGTCATTATTGAGAGAATAAACATAAGGAAACTGGTCTTTGAGTGGCCTGTCACCGCACCAAGTATCATCCTAAAAAGAAATAAGTTCACCATCCCGGGATTTACGCAGCCAAGAAACCAACCCATTTATCATGTTAAAAATTGACCGATTTGAGAATAGCAACCCAAGGGCTATGACGAATTCGTAATCCTATCCGCACTAACACTCCCGCCAATACCATAAATTGTATGCACAACTTTAACTCACAACGCTTTCGGGTAACAACGAAGGGATTTTGAATTCGTGGGTGTCATTTTCTATTCAAAGAGAAAATGAGTAAATTACACGAATGGTCCCTATGGTTTTCGGTAATTTGCACGTTTGATCCCTAGCTTATTTTTTTAACTCGGAAGGTCCCTACTGTTTGTTTTTGTTACACATTTGATCCCTATCTTACCCAAAACGACTATTATTTAAATAAGAAAAAATGATAGGGCTGGTAAAGTAAGGTGAGAGGGGTAGGGTTGGTAATCTGTTTATTTAAATAGATTAAAAAATCAAGGGTAAAATAGTCTTTCTATATATGACAGGGACCAAGCGCGTAACAAAAACAAACAATAGGAACCTTCCGTGTTAAAAATATAAATTAAGGATCAAATGCGAAAATTACCCTAAACCATAGGGGCCATTAGTGTAATTTACTCAAGAGAAAATACTACCAATTCCAAGAGCACCCAACTTCTTACTAGCCAAACACTTGTCACATTTGACCCATGTAATTTTCATCTCCTACATATCATCACCGATTAAAAAATATATTCTGCATGGCCTTTAGCCTTCTTTGCTCTGTAACAAGCATTTTGTAAATTGACATATAATGTGTAGGCAAATTCTCAAGCACTACTTTTACCATATTGATAAAACTTGTAAGAATGCTTTCATTTCGAGGAAAAACTATAAATATATTTTCATTATGGGTAAAAATTATAAATATGTCGTTATTATAAATAAAAAAGTAGAATATATCATCCACATTGATGGCACGTGCATGTATCATTTTTACATTTATATTTTACATTTGATTTTTTTTACATAATGTGTGCATAACAATACGGAAATAGATGTTTATTCAAAACTAGTTGTGAGAATTATATATTACATGAGTTTATTTAAAGTTATATATGAAATTCTAAACATTTGAAGTTTGAATTTATTTAAAAAAAAAGTGAGAAAAAAAATTGAATTATAAAAATTAAAGTGTTTTTTTTCTTTTAAATTTAAACAAATAATCTAGACAAATAAACAAAAGAAACTAATGGAATTTTAGTTTACTAATTTTGAAATTAGAAGGGAAATATATTAATGAAATTAATATGTATTTATTATTACATTTAAATATTATATGAAATTTAATAAAATAAAAAGAACCATACAATGACACGTGGAAATAAAATAAAATGAAAATAATAACAAAAAAACAATGTGGCATAATGTATTAGAAAATGACAAATAACAAAATTATTTTTATTTATTAGATAGGGAGTGAAAGTTATTGCTCTAACAGTTTCTCAGAAACCAAAGGGTTTCTAGCCCAACGGTATCCGATGTTGTCCCTCCTATTTGAGGTCGAAGGTTCAAGTCCTACTAGATGAAATAATTTAGGAGCAGCCCTTCAGTTTCTTAGAAATCATAATGATGATTTTCATAGTAAGGTTATAATGCATTGGAATATGGATGTAACATCACCATTTGGCCATTTTCTTTTGTAGTATTTGATACGATGAAATGTTGCTTTTATATAGAAATTAAGGATTTATTTAACTTTAATCATGTTCTTTGTAGGTGATTCCGAGGGAGGCAAGAGAGTTTGATTTGGGGGAAACCAAGTATTACATAATAATGTGTTTTAGTGCATTAATTTGGCAATGTTTCTTCTTGGGGGCCATAGGCGTGATCTTTTGTGCATCATCCTTATTATCAGGGATCATAATTGCTGTTCTTCTTCCGGTGACAGAGGTATTAGCTGTTGTTTTTTACAAAGAGAAGTTTCAAGCTGAAAAAGGCGTTGCGCTCGTTTTGTCTTTATGGGGATTTGCTTCTTATTTCTATGGAGAGTATAAGTTCATGAAAAAATCCAAAGATAACACACAATCTACTCAAGAATCAATAGAGTTAGCGCAAGCTAATTACTCTTCAGTATAATCTTTACCATTGTATACGCTTTAAACTGATTTTGATTTTGGATTTCAAATCAGCCAAAACGTTTTATTGCTTAAAGCTAGTTATAAAATGTGAAAATTTGAAATTTGTCGAAGCTATCTTACAAAAACAGAATCCAAATAACGTTTCGATTTTAAGTTTGTTTAATACTCCATAATGTATAATATATTTTGTCATGTTATTATAAATATTGAGTAAATTAGAGATTGCATCCTTAGACTAATACTAAATTGGTTTCCATAGCCTATTAACTTTTGCAATGGTAGATAAAAGATCCATTCTTAACAATTTGATACTTTGACATTAGCATCGATGTTGTTTTGTTTGTGCAAATGTGGAAGCAAACATGAAGATATTCTATGAAAAGAATGAATTACAATAATGACCCAATGAGACCCCTTTACTTCTTGATGACTTAAGAGAAAACAAGAGTACATTGAAGAACATGTAAACCAGAAACTTGAACTAACTATAAAAAAATATCCGATGAAACTCTTTTTATGGTCAAAGTCAAAACACATTTTTGACTTTAGCCTTAATTTTGTTTTAACCCCTTCACTATTGTTTAATAGCATTTATATTTACATTCTCCACTATTACAATCAAACTAAGTTAAACGTATTTCCAATTATTGAAACTCACCCACAAGTGAAATAGCACTCTGAATATCGCACTCGTACACTACAAAAAAAATGCTAGTTAGTAACAAAAATGATGTAGTCCCTAACTATAGAACAATGGTTACTAAAAGGATTTAATGACGGAAAAATTTGTGGTCATTTTTCACCACTATAGTCCGTCGTGACCAATATAAATAAGTGGTCATTGATTTACCCAATTAGTGACCATAAAAAGTCATCACTAATTTATCCAATTAGTGGCCATAAGAAATCATCACTAATTTATCCAACTAATAACCATAAAAATCGTCACTGGTTTAATCAATTTGTCACAGAAAAAGTTGTCACTGATTTACCTAATTACCGACCATAAAAAGTCATCACTAAGTTACCCAATTAGTGACTATAAAAAGTCGGAGTTATCCCCAAATCAACGAATGTTTCTGATGAATGACCATAAAAAGTTGGATTCCTGCTTGGACTCCTATGTTGGATTGGTTTCAGAGCAGATTATCAGGGTGGAAGGCCAAGAATATTTCTAATGGAAGCCATCTTACTTTGGTTAAGTCCATTCTCGACTATCTCTGGAGCTGCTTGATGTCGATGTTGTTACCCCATTTTTTTTTTTTCTGTTGTTATCTCTTCTTTGGAGGTTTTGAGGGAAAATTTCTTTTGGGGTGTAGATTTAGATAAGAGACGTATGCATTGGGTTCGATGAGATAGATCCCTCGCTTCTAGTGGAGAGGGTGGACTAGGTGTTAGGGGTTTGTTCGCTTTTAATGGAGCTATTATTTTTCGGTTGTGGTGGAGATTTTATCATTGTCCCAATTTATTGTAGGTTCATTTGATCAAATCTATTTATGGTACAAATGATGGTTTTAGATCTCTTACACCTAAGAGATCCTATGATGGTCCTTGAAATGGTATCATTTGTATGATGGGACATCTTTGAGACAAAGGTTTTGATCTTCAAACTATGTGTCCTATCATATTAGGAGATATGTGATTTACTCTGTTTTGGCATGATGTGTGGTTGGGAGAGTAGCCCTTTGTAATCATTTTACATATTTTTTTATGCTCTGGATAACCATATATATTTTACAGTTAGAGATCGATATGCCATTGGATGAGATTTGTAGAATTTTAGACGTGTCATCCCTAGATGTTGCCCATGCTCTTCCTCGGTTCAAGAGTATATTAGAATATCATCAATAAATACGATCACAAATTTATCCAAGTTGGGCTTGGATATGTGATTCATAAGATCCATGAAAACAGCTGGGGCATTAGTCAGACCAAATAACATGACAAAGAATTCATAATGAACGTAATGTGTTTTGAATGCTATCTTTGGAATCTCCTCTTCCACAACTTGGAGTTGATGATATCCCAATCTTAGGTTGGTATTGGAGAAATAAATTGATCCTTAAAGTTGATCGAAAAGATCATCGATTCGGGGAAGTGGATATTGATTCTTGACGGTCTATTTAACTCACGGTAGCCAATGTGCATTAGGAAAGATTCATCATTCTTCTTGATGAATAGTACTGGCCCTCCCCAAGGCGAAAAAGCTTGGGTTGATAAAGCCTTTGTCATGAATTTCCTATAGTGGGCTAGAGTGCTATTGCATCTCCTATGGTGCCATTCTATAAGGAGACTTTTTCTATAGGGTTTTCTCCTAAAATCAGATATATCTTAAACTCAACTTGGCGTTTAGGTGGTATTCCTAGTAGATCTTCAGGAAATACATCAGGTAGTCTCACACCGGGGGTACCTCTTTGATCTCTTTATTAACTCTCTTATCGGCAACGTAGGCTAGAAAGTCATAATACTTCTTTTGCAGGTATTTCCTGGCCTTCATACCGAAAATGATTCTAAGGTTTCTTACTAGGCTTGTCTCCATAGATAGTTTAGCTTTCTCTACTCGGCAAGGATAAACGCACTGCTTTCTTAAAGCATAAAATTTCAACATGATGAAGAGATAAATAATGCATGCCTGTTATAAAGTCGAAACTACTAGTGAGCATAGACATGAGGTAGATGAGAGATATGTGATTATTTAACTCTATAGTACAATTCTCTAGTACTTCCTGGGTGATATCGGTTTGTTCATTGGTCATTTCTACTGTATAGGTTTCCCTAAGTTTATTAGATGGATGATTTCATAATTGCCTAAACTCTGGGGTAATGTAGCTTCTATCGGCTCCAAAGTCAAATAGTACATTTTCTTATAGATTATTAATTAAGTGCATACCAGTGACCACTATTGGTTCATGGACGACGTATTTTGCTCTTATGAAAAATGACCTTCTTCTGGAATTTCGTTATTGTCCCTTCAACTTTAGGAAGTCTCTCTTGTAATGCCCAACCTCCCTACATTCATAAAAACTTTACTTTTTGCTATTGTTGGGGCTCCGTGGTTCCTCATAGGTGCTAGTGCAGGTGTTGGAAACCTACAATTCTAAACAAGGTGGCCCTTCCTGTCATAATTGCTACATGTGCAAAAAGCACTAGTATGATGATAACCGTACTGATTACATTTTGGACTACCTCTTTTATACTGCCTTAGGGAGGTAGTCTTGATTGATGTTGTATTTGTATATGTCTGAACTGCTTCACGCTTTTTCTCTAACGGTTTCCAAGCCCTTCCCCTAGGATTAGTTTGTAACGTCCCATTTTCAAAACCCCAAAATTTTTCATTTTTATTTAGGTAAAGCTTTACAATTTATAAATCCATTATTAATAAAAACCATTTATTCAAGATTAAATTTATTCCAAATTAGAGTATTATAGAAAACACAGAATCCACAATGCTACTGATAAGTGTGTACATTCCGCCTTCGCCTTCCCATAAACACCGATAATACCTGAAACGATAAACAACTGGATAAGCATTAAGCTTAGTGATTTTCCCCCCAAAATACCACACATAACCATAAAAAGTAAACGAGGAACGACCTAATCAATCATCGGACTAGAATGGTTACCTATACCGAGTTTATTGGACGTACCGCCTCAACCCAACCACTTATCCCGAGCCTCCGTGGCTATGGATTACAGCTGGATTGCACCCAGCTATCTTGGCCTACAACACAAAGTAGGATTGCCTAAACCGAAAACAAAAACAACATGTTGACATGTAAACAATCAAGGGTCAACTAGGCACGTAAGACTAGCAAACATCAATCATACAACTCACTACCGCCTAATAGTCCTCTCACATCATACAGTCTCGTAGCCAGCTAAACTCCATGAAATTAGTAACCATACCTAACCATAAGTGAGATAGCCACCCAAACATATGATATTACTCTAGAGCCACAACCAAACAAGGAACATACAAGAAAGCCTAGACCAAGAGTTCTCAGGCTATCCTATATGACCACAAACAATCCTTAAGGGCACTCTATAGATTATAACTAGCAAGTATAGATAAAATATAGTTCTACATATCACTACACCAAAGCTACATACTTGATACCAGGATATAGATCTAACAAATCAGCACAACAAAGCAACATACTCGATACATGGATACAGATCTAACAGATCACTACAACATAATAGCATACTCAATACCAATATATAGATCTAACATATCACTACAGCATAGTAGCATACTAAATATCAACAATCCAAGTAATGCATGACCATATATACTCAGAGGTGAGATAGACACCTGAACAGGTGATGCTACTTTGGAACCACAACCAAAAAAGGAATGTGTAAAAGAGCCTAGATCAAGAGTCTTCCATATATCCTACATGACTATATACAGTCCCTAAGGACATAATAACCTAAGGGTAGGACTGATTAAGGTTCGGCCTAGTCACTCACGGGTATAATAATAATCAAAGTAATATCCCAAATACGTGCCCCGATCATTGTCCAAAATAGAGCTTCCCAATTCTAGGGTTTCCACATAAAATGATAACTAGGGTTAGTGTTCCACACTTGACCCCTTAAGGACATAATTCATTGAGTCCAATACTACATTAAGTTAATCGTAGGGCATTATCGAGTATAATTTAAAGTTTAATTAACCATTTTAATGTGGGTCCCGACAAAACTCCAATACTAGGGTTTTCTTAACATTAGGGTTTTCTAAACCCTAATTAGGGTTTCCAACCCAAACATGTGCCACTTGGTCTAAGGTTAGATGCTTAGGTCATTTATTGTTAAGTTAGACACAACCCAATGCCACCTTGGGTAGTGAT